GTGGTGCGACCGCCCGGGCACCACGCAGACCCTGCCACTGCCATGTAAGAACCCTGCCTGGAAACCCCCCCAAAACCCACCTCCTTGGCTCAAAAAGTCCCCCTGGGACCCCCCACCCAGCTTGGGGAGCCCACCCTTCGTGGATTCAGGTGGGGAAGGGGCCTCAATGAAGGTGCCCGGAGCATCAAGTGGCTCCAACTCCCTCTTGGCAGGGGATTCTGCTTCTTCAACTCGGTGGCCATCGCTGCCCGGCAGCTGCAGCAGAAGGGGAAGCTCAGCAAGATCCTCATTGTGGACTGGGTGAGTCCCCTCTGTCCCCCAGGGTGTCCCCAGAGTATCCCCAGGGTGTCCCCGGGACCCGGTGCCTGCTCCTCCCAGCTCCTCTGGAGTCAGACCAGAGAGCAGCCCCAGCTCCTCCTCCAGGCCAGACGTGGGGCTGGGAACCCTGGAATGGTGGGGTGGGAAAGTGGGAGCAGCCCCTGGGAGTTGGAGCCCCATCCCTGGAGCAGGGTGGAGATCCAGTTGCTTTTAGTGGAGAATCATAGAATCCCAGAATCCCAGACTGGTTTGGGTGGGAAGGGACCTTAAAGAGCATCTAGATGGGCAGAAACACCTCCCACCAGCCCAGGCTGCTCCAAGCCCCATAGCAGATACCTGGAACCCTTCAGGGATGGGGCAGCACCTTGAAGATCATCTAGTGGGATCATCTGGGTGGGCCTGAAGGTCCCTTCCAACCCAAACCATCCCAGGAGCTAAATTCTATGATTGTGGGTCTTGCATGATCACAATGGTGTGACAATGGAATCATCATGGGATGGGTTGGGTTGGAGGGACCTTCAAGACCATCCAGTCCCACCCCCTGCATGGGCAGGGACCCCTCCCACCAGCCCAGGCTGCTCCAAGATCCCTGGTAGATCCTTGAACCCTTCCAGGGATGGGGCAGCACCTTGGAGATCATCTAGGGGATCATCTGGGTGGGCTTGGAGGTCCCTTCCAACCCAAACCATCCCAGGAGCTAAAGACCATCCAGTCCCACCCCCTGCATGGGCAGGGACACCTCCCACCAGCCCAGGCTGCCCCAAGCCCCATCCAACCTGCCCTTGGACACCCCAGGGATGGGGCAGCCACAGCTTCCCTGCCCCAGGGTCTCCCCACCCTCCCAGGGAAGTTTCCTCCTCACGTCCCACCTCGATCTCCCCGATCCCAGTTGAAAACCACAAATCCCTCGCCCAGTCACTCCAGGCCCTTCTGGCTCTGTTTAGGAACCCCCTCAAGGCTGGATAAAAGCTCCTTCTCCCCCTTCCCTTCTTCCTCCAGGATGTCCACCATGGCAATGGGACCCAGCAGGTCTTCTACAGGGACCCTGATGTTCTCTACATCTCCCTGCACCGACACGACGACGGGAACTTCTTCCCCGGCAGCGGCGCCGCCGACGAGGTAGGAGGAGGAGGAGGCACCAAGAAGCTGGGGGAAGGCTCTTGCCTTGGGGCCAGCAGCCCTGGTGGCCCAGGGGACAGCCAGGAGAGCAGGACATGGGTGGCTCAGAGCAGAGGACAGTGTTGTGGTGGTTCCTTGTGGGTTCCTTGCTGCCTGTTCCTGCCCGGTTCTTGAGGCTTCATCCCAGTTTGAGGGGGACTCGGTGGCCACCAGGCTCTGGGAAGTGGCAGGAAGGTGCCACAGGTGCTGCTCTGCAGGAACTTTTCTCCCCTTAGAGCCTGGCAGGGATGTCACCTCCTCAGGCCACCTTGTCCCCTCACAGGTCGGCGCTGGTCCCGGCGAGGGATTTAACGTCAACGTAGCCTGGACTGGAGGGCTCGACCCCCCCATGGGTGATGCTGAGTACCTGGCTGCCTTCAGGTGCTGCTCCTGCTCCTCTCCCCTCACCCTGGGGTCAGGCTGAGCCACCTCCCAACTCCTGCCCCCCGTGTGTCCCCCCCCAGGACGGTGGTGATGCCCATTGCCCACGAGTTCTGCCCCGACCTGGTGCTGGTGTCTGCTGGTTTCGACGCAGCCGACGGGCACCCCCCCCCTTGGGGGGCTACAAAGTCTCTGCGAAATGTAAGGGAGGGAAGACAGGGTGAGAG